TAGAGGCTGCAGTGGGCCATAATCATGACACTGCATTCCAGCCTGGGTGACACAGCAAGACCCTGTCTCAAATAAATAAATAAATAAAATTTAAATTGTAGACCAGTAATTATGGGGGATATCTTAAATAAAATATTAACAAATCAAATTCAGCATTACATTCAAATGATATGATAAAGTCAACTGGGGTTCATGCAGGAATGCCAAGAGGGCCCCCTATTCAGAGACCTAATAGTGCCATAGAACAAGCAGAAAAAGCTCATTTTATTAAATTTAAATGGCATCTGACAAAATCCAATACCCACTCTTATTTTTTTAAATAAAATTTCAGTTAAGAAAGAATAAATATTTTCTTGACATGACTGAAAAATAAACCTCAAATCAAAGGCCCACTCAGTGAGCAAACTCTCATTCATATCAGGATTAAAACAAGGATGCCCCTAATGTCATCATTATTTAACATTTCCTGAAAGTTTTGGCCAAGTGAGTAAGCCTCTCATTGATGCTAATATAATTATTTAAGAGTAAGAACAGAAGATAAATATTGGAAAGAAAGAGGCCAAATTATCATTATTTGCAGAAGAAATCATTTTAAGCCTTAAAATGGCAAGAGAATCAGCTGGAAAAAAGAAAAAAAGCCTATTAGTACAAGCAGTTACATGGCTGGCTACACAATTCAAGAAAGTTCAAGGAAGATGCCCTCTTCATGGATCACAGAGGTTGCTTGTGTGTAGAATAGTGTGACCTCAGAAGGAGGATACCACCTTAGTGCAATTTGCCAAGGCTTGGAACTTTGCATCCTTTCAAAGGAATAAAAAGTCTTTCTGAGAGAAGGAGACTGCCAGCAAAGATTCCTCACCATGTGCCAAACAGCTCTATAAATTCTACTGTAATGAGCCACTTGGGGACCAATTTTTTCCAATGTTTAAGAAGAAAATACAATTTTAAGGCACTGATATATTTTCTCTTTTGGACCAGATCTTAATATCATGGTGCAGTGCATTCTTGTCAAGAGGCTGGATCAAGGGTTAGTCAGTTCTTCATTGCAGCATAGACTCCTCTTCCCACTCAATCCATAGGCACCTGTGGCAGGAGAAATCTGGAAAGTCTCATATGCTCCCTTGCATGATAAATTTCTCAGCTGAAAACACCAGAACCCTACCAGTGATATTATATGAGCAAGACCAATATTCAAAACTATGCTAAAAGTAAAATTATTAACTTTATTTAGATATTAATGAGAATGACTTCCATTGTGGAAGAAATCAAACAACCCATGTGAATGCTAACCAAACTGTAAAGACATTTTCTTTACACGTGTATCACCATTACTGCAATCTTGATTAAATCCACAATTTAAAACTGCTGCCATGATTTAGAAAGCACAATGTCAGCAGAATATTTGTTTTTGATTTTATGGGTAACAAAGCAAATTCATGTTAAAATAACTCATTTAATCTTCACACTCACTATATGGGTAGGATATTGTTATTTTGTTTTTATCAGGTCGTAAATAGAGATTTTTAAAAGTTAAGAAATTTTCCCATGTTCTCAAAGTTATTAGTAGCTGAAAAAAATTGGGTCTTAGGCCCAGCATTATTTGTTGTTGTTAGTTAATATTTATATATACATGTATGTGTGTATATAATGGCTGGGCATGGTGGCTCATGCCTATAATCCCAACACTTTGGGAGTCCAGGGAGTGTGAATCACTTGAGACCAGAAGTTCAAGACTCCAGTCCTTTGGCTTCAAAACTGTGCCCCTGTGATATTAATTTCACTTGAGCCATTGAAGGTATTGGTAAATTTGAATCTAGGATGATACCTTATTTTTCTCCTTTTCAGAAACTTTACCGTGAGGGCTGGGATGAAGTGAAGGCAGGCTGTGATGTCCGGCTGGATGCCATCCCCATCCAGGCTGCCAAGGCCTCCAGGGAGATTGCCAGTGACGTGAGTGGCCTTTTTTAACTTCTCAATTTTTTTTTTTTTTAGCCATTGCCCTAGGTATATCAAAAGGACATGCTGTGACCCATCTGCTTTATTTTTGCATCTCCAGTATAAATATAAGCTTGACCATGAGAAGCAGAAGGGACACTACGTGGGCACCCTCACAGCCAGGGATGACAACAAGATCCGCTGGGCCCTCATAGCTGACAAGCTCCAGAATGAACGAGAGTACCGGCTGGACTGGGCCAAATGGAAGGCCAAGATCCAAAGCCCCGCAGACATGCTTTCCATCCTGCACTCGAAAAATTCCCAGGCTCTGGTCAGTGATGTGGATTACCGCAATTACCTGCACCAGTGGACCTGCATGCCCGACCAGAATGATGTGATTCAGGCCAAGAAGGCCTACGAGCTGCAGAGCGACGTGAGTGGGCTGCATCTGGGGATAAATGAACTCTTTTCTCATTTGGCCATGACTCCCAGAGAATTTATGACACTAAACCCTCTGTCATCATTTTGCAACTTTGTATCACCAAGAATTTAGTATTAGTGAGATCTTCTAGTATGGTGCCAAAATCATCAAATCCAAGAAGGACCTAGACTTTATATCAGGAAAGTAACGGTAGTGTGAATACAGGTCTTAATTGTATCAGTTAAAGAAAACTGTGAAAATATTCTTTCTGTAGAATTTAGATAGTAATAGAGGCTTATAGCCAGTAAAATATTAGCAGCCCACGGACAGTCCATGGACAGGTTGTAGGCACAAGCATGCTTTTTTAATTGATACGTTTGAAATACATGCCTCTCAGGTTCAAGTGATTAAGTTGCCAAGTTTTTAAAATCCAAAAACTTTTGTGTACAGAATGTACATTTGGTACATTTCTCTTGAAAATTCAGACGACTCAGCTCTGAATTATCCTTTAGTAACAATAACCAGAATGGAATTGAGGATAACCCCCTTTAAATAAAAATATATGCGCTAGTTTGTCACACTGCCTGGCCACCTAGTTAATTTTCTTACATTACCTGTGTGGCTGCTTGAGTATGTCCTCCTTGGCTTATACAGCATTTACATTGTATTTTTCTTCATCAGACCAATGGGTAGGCTAACTAGGACCACATGACCAGGGTTGCTGAATTCATTCTGGCCTTGTTTTCACAGAATGTTTACAAGGCTGACTTGGAGTGGTTGCGTGGAATTGGGTGGATGCCAAACGACTCTGTGTCCGTCAATCACGCCAAACATGCTGCAGACATCTTCAGTGAGGTATTCCAAGATTTTACCCTGACATTCGGTACACTTCCCAAGAAAATAACAAAATACACAAACTAAAACGTAGTCATCTAATGTCAGCAATTTTAACCATTTCTATTGCTGTAATTTAAACCAGACATATATGTTTTTGAAAATGTACTGTCCCTATGACATTGTGGGACCACATCCATAATATAATATCCAGCATACTCACCAATACTTGGGATTGTATAAATGGAAAAATCCCTTTGTGAGCAATAGCAATATACTTGGGAAAAGACTGTTCCATTGGAAAAATGTATATTATGATACACATAATTATACATTATATAACTTTGAGAACTAAGCAAACTTCCTACTTTAAAATCTGTGGGAGGCATAAGAAGCCAACACGTTTGTTTAAAAAATAAAATGCTAAAAAGAAAGCCAAATTCCCAAGAAGATGCCATTCAAATGTGGCACTGTATGTTTCTAGTAGAGAAAGACCCTAAATTTAGTGTGTGTTTCTCAGCTCACACACATCCAGGAATTACAACTATCTAAAAGATGCTTTCTTTCCCGTAGAAAAAATATCGTACCAAAATAGAAACTCTCAACTTTACTCCTGTGGATGACAGAGTTGATTATGTGACAGCAAAACAAAGTGGCGAGATCCTCGATGATGTAAGAATATGGCTGTTTGAAAATCTCACAATGATGCTTCCAAAGCTTTTCCACCTACTTACACTCAGCATGCGATCTTCTGAAATACGGATTTTAATCAATGAAATGATGTATGCTAACGATTGCTTGGACAACACAATGTTTTCTTACCAGCAAGTAACTTGCCCCCTTGCCTCTCATTTTTTTTTTTTTAGATTAAATACCGAAAAGACTGGAACGCCACCAAATCAAAGTACACTCTCACAGAAACCCCCCTGCTGCACACGGCCCAGGAGGCTGCTAGGATACTGGATCAGGTATGGGTGTCACCCGGACGCCTAGTATTTGGGTAGGAGTGGAAGGCCTTAATAGAACTGTAGGATAATTATGCACACAACGTACCCCTCCCTTCTGACTTCTCATTTTAACCCTTTGTTGTCACTCTGTCTTTCAGCATCTCTACAAGGAAGGCTGGGAGAGACAGAAAGCCACAGGTTACATTTTGCCTCCAGATGCTGTGCCATTCGTTCATGCCCATCACTCTGGTGACGTTCAGAGTGAGGTAATTTATCCTGATGGGAGTGCATTTTGCAAAAGTGGGACCTTGTTCACAGGAATTCTAGTTATGCTGAAGGCAGAGATAGTACCTTACAGGTGTCCAGTTTCAATGTGGCAGAGCTGGCCAGGCTTGGTGATGGTTGGAGGACCTGCTCCTTACTGGCCCTTCTTCCATGAGCTTTAGGCTTTCTTCTTTCTTTACCCCTGCTTGGCTTCTTTAAAAGCAACTGTTCAGATTCTTCACTTTTTCTTATATTCTCTGCCTTCCCTAAAATCTTTAGGCCTTTGAATAAAAATCAACAATCAGAGAACAAGTGTATTTTTTTTCTATTTTTATTTATTTTTAAAAATTTATTTTTATTATTTTTAGGACTGTCTCAATCTCAGCAAAATATTTTTCTATTTTTAAATAGCTGTGTCTTCACATGGATTTATTTGCTTTCTATTATTTGTTCTCAGGGTGGGGGGTGGGTGTCAAACAAAAAGCTTGGCGGGGGAGGGGGCGGAATTTGCTGATATCCCTGAGTAGATGGTCAAGCCCCCTCTGCCTTGTGTGCTTGTCAAAACTGATGGAATTTATATTGCTCTTCTCACCAGCTGAAATACAAAGCTGAGCACGTGAAGCAAAAAGGTCATTATGTTGGCGTCCCGACAATGAGAGATGATCCTAAGCTGGTTTGGTTTGAGCATGCAGGCCAGATTCAGAATGAGAGACTATACAAAGAGGACTATCACAAAACAAAGGCCAAAATCAATATACCTGCTGACATGGTGTCAGTCTTGGCTGCCAAGGAGGGGCAGAGCCTTGTCAGTGATATTGATTACCGTAATTACTTGCACCAATGGACGTGTCATCCTGACCAGAACGATGTTATTCAGGCAAGAAAGGCCTATGACCTACAGAGCGATGTAAGTGATTTTAGTTTCTTCATTATCTAGAAGTGCATGGTACATTCTAAGAATGAGGAGCAACATCCCAGATCCACCAGTGCTTGAAATTTGAAGCCACAGATATTTAATTTATTCCTGAAGGGAATTGAGGCTGGATATGAAATAGAGAAAGATCAGGAGCAGTGACGGATTGATAGATTTGCCCACTGACTGCATTTCTGAATAACTTTCAATCAACCTTTTTTTTAATCTGCTTTTGTACCATTTTGGCCATCAGCAACTCCTCACTTACATTCACATGGAAAAGTGTCAGCTGATTGAAAATAATAATTTGCTTTAGTGGGAACCGAGACTGAGTTGAGGTTTTAACAATATTGGATGATAGCACAGTTAAAGACCTAAACATGCCCTATTCCTGCTTTGCTAAGCATCTCATTCCTCAAGGCATTTATGAAGTTGTCCCCAAAGCAAAAGAGAAAATACTGATTAAGCTGCATGAGGACCCAGTATGCCTCATGCAGAGCTTTGGTAAAGCTAGGGTAGAGAATATGACATAAGCCACCTCCCACTGAAGACTGAATTGAGATCGTGCTTGATTCAGGCCACCAGCCTTCTGTTTGTGTGGCACAGCAACTTGCAGCATCAACTTAGCTGCCCAGGTGCCCAGTGAAGCTAATGCTACCTGGGTCCTCTCATCATTAATAAAAGGGAAGCCGGAAGTCAAAGACTGCTGCAGCATAGATGTTGAACTTGAACATCCCACCTCACTGGTTGCTGCAGCAAAATAGCCGTTGTGGAACTTTAATCAGAATAGCAACTCCTCTTATTTTTGTGTGGGATAGGCTGGGAGAATCTAGGTGCTGGAAACGGTAAGGGCAAAAATAGGTTTGACTAGGACCCCGGAGATGCCTCCCCCTTCCCAATACGTGAACATTTACTTGTGTAGTTTACCTCATTTACCTGCATACTCCTACATGACTAAATGTACCAAATCCATCTAAAAGTACAAGCTCCTTGGTAAGCCTTTTCTTATGACAATAGCAGAAAATAACAGCCCCTTCCCCTCAACTCCAATAGCATTAGAGCACTTGATCTAACAGTACTTCCTGCTTTATAAATGACGTATCTTGACTCCTAAAACTCCTTCTTCATATTTATTCATCAAAGCACCAAGCATAGTGCCTCTTGCACAGTCATAGCCACAAGAAATACTGCTCAGGTGAAATCACTATTGCATGAATGAGACAACTACTAGAGAGAAATCCTTGAAAAGCTTCTGGAAAAAAAAAAAATGTAATCTGCCATCTGTAAGCGTGTGTCCCAGTCATTTATTCCTCCATTATGTTTCTCTTCCTGCTCTCAGAATGTCTACAAAGCTGACCTGGAGTGGCTCCGAGGCATTGGCTGGATTCCCCTGGATTCTGTGGACCATGTGAGGGTTACTAAGAACCAGGAAATGGTCAATCAGGTATGCAAAGCCTGTTCTCCTTCTAACCTAATGCCTGCCCTGCTACCTGCCATGTGGGGGTAGATAATCTGTAGTGGTAAACCTGTCTTAATTGTCTCCGTTTCTTTACAGATAAAATATAAGAAAAATGCCCTTGACAACTATCCTAACTTTACAAGTGTGGTGGATCCTCCAGAGATTGTTTTAGCCAAGATTAATTCTGTCAATCAAAGTGATGTAAGTTTCCTTTGTGTATGCTTAAGTGCATAAACTGTGGAGTTCATTGTATTATTGAGTGGATAAGTTTAACTTTAGATAATTGCTTGTAAAAAAAAAAAAAAGGAGGTGGTAAATTATCATCTTTGGGGTTGTCTTAAAAGTCACTAGTAGGCTGGGCACAGTGGCTCATGCCTGTAATCCCAGCATTCTGAGAGGCCAAGGTAGGTGGATTACCTGAGGTCGGGTGTTCCGAGACCAGCCTGACCAATGTGGAGAAACCCTGTCTCTACTAAAAATAGAAAAAATAAGCTGGGCATGGTGGCACATGCCTGTAATCCCAGATACTCGGGAGGCTGAGGCAGGAGAATCATTTAAACCTGAGAAGCGGAGGTTGCAGAGAGCTGAGATCATGCCATTACACTACAGCCTGGGCAACAAGAGCAAAACCCCGTCTCAAAAAAAAATCTAGTGGGTGGCAAATTGTATCCATTTTTGGCTGTCTATACGCCTATCCAAATTATTCTGTTGTTTTAGTTAAAATGGACTAAAATTCAACCAGTTGGTCAATTTTAATCTCTAAACGTGGACTGATTATATTTCTAGGTAATCTTTTGAAAATTTAATATACATTTCTAGTAATAAAAGGTTTGCTTTTGTTTTCTCTCCTTAGGTAAAATACAAAGAAACATTTAACAAAGCGAAGGGCAAGTATACGTTTTCACCAGACACACCACATATCTCCCACTCCAAAGACATGGGAAAACTCTACAGTACTGTAAGTTCTCTTTTATGTAGTAACCACTCAACTTCTAATTTTAAGCTCTTGTTGCATTCATATTCTTGGTGATTTTATGAACTGCTGAACTTATAAGGCAACCCGTTATTTATATTCCCATTGCTCTTAGTCTTGTTTATTAGAAGTACCATGTTATTCGAGGCAAATGGCGTTTATTTGGCTGGAGCTCCTGTGATGTGCCAGGCACTTCGGGAGGCACTGAGAGCCTAAAGCTCAATGAGACAAGCCCTTCAGGAGCCCACGCAAGTGAGCGCAGGCAAGGAACAGACTTAAACTGATAGAATAATAATCTAACAAGTGCTCTGTGTACACGTATGATTGAGCACCTATCAACAGAGAAAAGGGAGAAAAGGCTGGTCCCTCTTTAGCAATCATGCACCAGCATCTCCAGCCAACAAGAGGAAAACTTGCCCTCCAAAATTTCATTCAACTAATTTAAAGGAGGACGATTGTGTGCACGTGTGCACCCAATGGGAAAGAATCTTTGCCAGTTATCTCCCTGTGTGCAAATTTCTTGTCACTTTTACTAGGATCGCAAATATAATCAACTCTTATAAAATGCCTAGAGTTGGCTGGGCATAGTGAGTCACGCCTCTAATCCCAGCACTCTGGGAGGCCGAGGTGGATGGATTACCTGAGGTCAGGAGTTAGAGTCCAGTCTGGCTAACATGGTGAAATCCCATCTTTATGAAAAATACAAAAATTATCTGGGCATGGTGGCATGCACCTGTATTCCCAGCTACTCCAGAGGCTGAGACAGGAGAATCTCTTGAACCCAGGAAGCAGAGGTTGCAGTGAGCTGAGTTCATGCCACTGCACTCCAGTCTGGGTGAGAGAGCAAGATTCCATCTCAAAAAACAAAAAAAAAAAACATAAAAATTAAAATACCTAGAGTCTGTAAATTTAATTTGCAATAAACCAAATAATTTCCCTGTTCTAGTTAGCCACACTAACGGCTATAGATAAAGATTTCAGCCTTGCCTTGAACATACATGTTTCACCTTAATTTGACCCATTGTCTTAGTGGCATCTGAAATAAATGGGATGCAAACTTTTGTTGCCACATATTTCTTTGTTCTAGATCCTGTATAAAGGGGCGTGGGAGGGCACCAAGGCCTATGGCTACACCCTGGACGAGCGCTACATTCCCATCGTTGGAGCCAAGCATGCCGATCTGGTGAACAGTGAGGTCAGTATGACCTTTTCCTCTCCTAAGTTTGGGAGTCTTTATTGGGGATCAAGGGACTGGTTAGAAAACTCCAGCGATTCTCACTGTTGAACCCACTTTACAGCTTAAATACAAAGAGACATATGAGAAGCAGAAAGGTCACTACCTGGCTGGAAAAGTGATCGGTGAATTCCCTGGTGTGGTTCACTGTCTGGATTTCCAAAAGATGAGGAGTGTGGTAAGCAAATGTCCACTTTAACAGGGGATTTGTGCCCCGTAAGGGGGCTGTCATGTCTCCCTGTTTATAACTTGCCCTTGGTTCAGGTTAGTTGGGAAATGGAGTGGCATAGAGTCCTTCCTGAGCTTCTCCTCTCCCCCGCCAGTCAGCCTGTGGACTCTTGGTGGCTGTGTGTTTTCTCCCTGCCACTTTCTCCCCACTATTAAATACTGTGACTGCTTTGTGTTGGGAAAAGGGAAAATCAACAAGGTGACTATTTACCCTGTGTTATAAAAGGATGGGAAATTTCAGGCCAGGCGCAGTGGCTCACGCCTGTAATTCCAGCACTTTGGGAGGCTGAGGCAGGCAGATCACCAGAGGTCAGGAGTTTGAGACTGGCCTGGCCAACACAGTGAAACCCCATCTCTACCAAAAATGCAAAAATCAGCTGGGCGTGGTGGCACACACCTGTAATTCCAGCTACTCGGGATGCTGAGGCATGAGAATTGTTTGAACCTGGGAGGCAGAGATTTCAGTGAATGGAGATCACACCACTACACTCCAGCCTGGGTAACAGAGCAGGACTCTGTCTCAAAAAAAACGTGGGGTGGGGGGAGGATGGGAAATTTCAAAAGAACAAGAATATATTAAAGTATGGTTTTTTAACCTTAGTTTATTCTAGAGATACTGATCTATATGGGAAATAAGGATCTAAAAGAGATTGATCTGAATAATTTACATTTAAGTCCCTTTCTTATTTTTGTCATTAAAATATATTAGTTGAACTACAGAAAACATTATGAGGATACGAAAGCAAATGTTCATATCCCCAACGATATGATGAATCATGTGCTGGCTAAAAAGTGCCAATACATCCTCAGTGACCTGGAGTATCGACACTATTTCCACCAGTGGACATCTCTTCCAGAAGAACCTAATGTTATACGCGTCCGAAACGCCCAGGAGATCTTGAGTGATGTATGATGTCCCTTCTGCAGCTTGACTTAGCTATAGCTTCCATGACTCTGTCTTGGCCACGCCCCCAACCCCAGCTGCCATGTTCCCCTTGTCCCTGTATTCATAAATCGTGTTACTTCTCAACACAAAGTGGCATGAGTAAGCACCTTTTGGTGTTAAGAATCCATCCGAAGCCATAGGACATATATGTGAAATATTTGATTGTTTTAACACTAGACTCAGACTTCGATATTGAGCTCCAGCTTCTTTAGGCTTGGGAATTAAAGACCTTCCAGCTGGTGAAAGGCGTACCCTATGTCCTCTAAGCAATAAGCACAGCCAACGACTGATAGGAAATTATCAAATGCTCAGTTGTAAATTCAGAATACCTTCCACATTTCACTGTTCTCTCTTTCTTGCAGAATGTATATAAAGATGACCTGAATTGGTTGAAAGGCATTGGTTGCTACGTTTGGGATACACCCCAAATCCTCCATGCCAAGAAAGCATATGACCTTCAGAGTCAGGTGAGCCACCTTTCTAGAAGGACTGGCCCTCCAAGGGTCATCAGAATCCATGGTGGTGTCAGTGGACTGATGGCCAGGCTAAGAAAGCTGCTGTGACAGTGTAGGCTCTGACTGACCGAAGCCCCTCCTCTCCCGGTCAGACCTCTTCTAGTGGCCTGCTTTGGGGCTGGATCTTCCCATATGAGTCTCTCCTGCAGTTTAAGGCAGTGAACATTGATAACCGGAAGTTTATGTGGGAGGTGTTTCGTAGTGAGCTACTCTCAAGCATCTGTACTTTAGTTGATCAGGTTAACTTACAGAGAGTAGAATGCAAAGGCGTCCTTTGACTACAGGAAAAAATCACTATCTGGAAAATTTTTCAGCACATGGTTCAGCCCTGATGGGGCAGATATAATAGAATGTTAAAAGTGAGGGGCTGCTGTCGGGGTGGAAGATAGGCATGGAAAAGGCAACAAAATGGCCACAGTCTTGACCCCAGTCTTGGTCAAGTGAAACTGTTCATTCTGGCAGCTACACAAAGTCTGCGGGACTCTAGAATGACAGCTTGTTTGTTAGGATTAAAGCTGCAATCCAGAAAAAAAGAAAGGCACAGCTAAGTTGGCACAAGCAGCTAAAGCTGAGGACACACCTGTATGTTACCATTTGTGGTGACTTTTGTTTTTCTTCACAGCTACAATATACAGCGGCAGGTAAAGAAAATCTACAAAACTATAATCTGGTCACAGACACGCCCCTCTATGTGACTGCTGTTCAGAGTGGCATTAATGCCAGTGAGGTGCGTCTTCCTATACTTCCCTTCCTGGGACAAACTGTTTCTTGTCTTTACATATTTTCAAACAACAGAGGTGAATAACCTGTTATTCCTTGTCTATAGGTGAAATATAAAGAAAATTATCATCAGATTAAGGACAAATACACAACAGTTCTGGAGACAGTGGATTCTGACAGAACCAGAAACCTGAAGAATCTGTACAGCAGTGTGAGTTGAGTTTTTTTTTCCCTCTTATATATGAGCCACCTTTCCCCCTTCCGAGACAGTAAGAGAATAAATGGGATGGAGACTCTATCCCCAAAGGCTTTTCTATGGTTTTTTCCTGGACCTTTGATCCTACTTTACCTCATGAAATTCTAGTATGCACAATTAAATAAGCCCCAAATTAAAGAGGAGTCCTGGGAGTCAGTAGGGAGTGTGTGAGGAGGACAGAAACAGAAGGAAAACCTGCTACTCAGAAGCTAACCAGAATGCATTCCCCATATTCACAAGAAGGTCTTTAATTCCTGCAGAACCTGTATAAGGAGGCCTGGGATAGAGTGAAAGCCACCAGCTACATCCTACCCACCAGCACCTTGTCCCTGACACACGCCAAGAACCAGAAGCATCTGGCCAGCCGTGTAAGTCAAGCAAAAACATGACAGCTGTCCCACCCTCCCTTCCCCTTCCCTTCCCTTCCCTCCTCTCCCCTCCCCTCCCCTGCTCTCCACTCCAAGAATCTTTCAGCCTGATTCATATGTTGTCCAGAAGTACCCCCAGCGCTCCCATGGGCATGTCCAGGAAATAATTCCAAATGCTCAGTCGTTAGAGTCTATGTGCTCACTGCCTCTCTCTCTGCTGCCTGGAGAGAATCACAAGCACTTGCAAGAAGGACAGGATGTGACCTTTCAGGCTGCCTGTCTGCACAGGACTTGCACGGATAGTCTCTGCTAGAGCCAGAAGTAAGGATGGGCTGAAGACATAACACACCCTACAAAAATAGACTTTTTCCGTAGAATTACCTGGACGTAGGGCAAAAATAAACCAGTAAATATAACTGCTATTACTCCATGCCCAGTTAATATAAATTATTTTATAGCAATGAAATAGAAAACATTAAAAAAATGTTAATCCTACTTTTTTAAGGTAGAACTTTTCTTAGATATAAACATAACTGTATAACAAACCAACCCTAAATCTCATGAGCTGTTTAAATATGGTAGAAGGTCGTATGTCCTCTCTTTATGCTTCTATGTCTTATGCCCTCTATCCATTAATGCACTAAAGTAAAACCTTTTATTGTAAAATTCCCTGTAACCTTTATTGTAATTTGTAGCCCAGTTATCTTTCAAAAAATTAGAGACTTGACCTCCTAATTGTGAACATTTTATATAACACTTTAAATTAGCATTTCTCAAACATGTTTTGACCATGACTCACAGTGAGAATTTTTTTTATTTTAAGTACACACACACACCCCTGAAGTTTATGTGAGTTTCTTCTGGTATAATTGTCTCACAGAAAAATAGTGACTGCTGTACTAGAGACAGTGTACTCTGATCATTTCTATTCTGTTCTACTCATTTAAATGCTAGTGACTCAGTAAATTGATTTCACTACTCTACTGGGCTTAGAGATGCACAGCTTAGAAAAAAAATTCATTAGACAATCTATGGAGTTATTTAATTTTTACCTGGAGGAAAAAGTAAGTTATATGATTTTACCCAGACCCAACTCTATTTGGAAGATTGCAAAAAGGAGCAAACTTTTCATTTGGGAAGAAAAGTGTTATAGGTAAGATTTACAAACCTCAACAGAGGCTTTTTCCTTGAATCGTGAACAATATTATAGAGGCAAGCTTCTTGGCAAATTGGTTTTGGAGCAAGGTAAAACATAGAGAAATTAATCCTATAAAAGAAGTATTCTGACCTTATTTTAGGGGAAAAAAAAAGTTTTGTTGTTGTTTTTTTAAAAGGGTTCCTTTAAGTGCCATCATCTTTGAAGCTGAGAAATAGATTAGATGTAAGAAGCTGATTTTCTGTTCTGGAAAAATCTGGTGGAAATTTTGGTTGGTCTCCAGTCAGTGAAGGGCATTGCTGAAATTCTGATGCAAATACATACTTTGAACTCTCATTTGTTACGGAGGTGCAGGTCTGAGTTGCGGGAGAATTGTTATTTTATTATCGTGTGTTATGAGACTGGATCTCAGTCTCTGTCTTAATCTGGTTTATGTAATCATGGAACACTAATTAATAGGCAACGTGGCTTAAGAACTAATTGTTATCCCAGAGAAGTTGATTGCGCTGTATTTTTGAAGGCCTTGTAGAAACTGAAATCCAACGATTGTGTCTTCTTAGCAGCAGACTTTTCAGTTATTAAAAACTAAGAAATTCCTGAGCACAGTTTTAATCTTGTATTCATTGTAGTGAGAAAAACAAAGCCATTACCACAAGACAATATTTTTAAGTTACATACTCATTAAAATGAATTGCTTGTAGTAACAGTAAAAGTGCTAGTATTGGCATAGGAGTTTTTTTTTTTTTTCCATAAAGTTTTTAAACACTTCTCCCTAGAAAAAT